CATCATCATCATCATCATCATCAACAACATCCTCCTCCTTTTCCTGATCCTCCCCCCCTCCTCCTCCCCCCCGTTCCTCCTCCTCCTCCTCCTCGTAGTATCGCTAGTCTTAGTGTGATTAGTGATATGATTAGTCGTCATAGTCTGATTCGCCTTATCATTAGTACTAGGTTATTCGTCGTACTGTTCTTCTTAATCTTACAATTAATCATATTAGTATTCGTCGTCGCCTTCTTAGTATTCTTAGTATAGTTCGCTTACCACTGTTAGTAGCATTAGTCGCTTCCTTTTCATTGCTGATGATCATGAGCATTAGCATCGTCATTCGTAGTTATAGTATTATTTGTCAGATGTGTTGTATTGGTATGGTTGCTGATGCTGGTAACATTAATAGCAGCAGCAGCAGCAGGAGTAGTAGTAGTAGTAGTAGTCGTCGCCGTCGTCGTCGTCGTCGTCGTCGTCGTCGTCGTCGTCGTCGTCGTCGTCGTCGTCGTCGTCGTCGTCGTCGTAGTAGTAGTAGTAGTATAGTAGTAGTAGTAGTAGTAGTAGTAGTAGTAGTAGTAGTAGTAGTAGTAGTAGTAGTAGTAGTAGTAGTAGTAGTAATAGTAGTAGTAGTAGTAGAAGTAGTAGTAGTAGTAGTAGCAGTAGTAGTAGTAGTAGTAGTAGTAGTATAAGTGATGCCATTACTAATCGTAGCATTAGTAATATTATGATTGTTGTTACTCGTACTTCCTTACTTTGGTATCAGTATCACTCCTAGTACTAGTGGTACTATTCTTCTTGTGTACACAGTTCTTGTTAATAATATGGCGATGCTTCTCATTATTATTCACATCCTTCTCATTAGTGTTCCTCCTCCTCGCCTTCCTCCAATTCCTCCCTCTCATACCTAGGGCAGTGGTGGTCGAAAATCGACCCACCAGGCGAATCGCGCAGCGACGCGGGACGGCAGGGGCAAGCTCCACGGCAAGTCTGCGGTGGCCTCCTGGCCTCTACGCCTCGTGGTTTTTCCTGGCCTCGCTCGGCCACTGCGCGCCTCGACATGCGCTCTCTCGGCCTGGGCGTGACTGTCGCGCTCCTCGCGGCCCCACGCTGCTTCGCAGCAGCCTTGCCCCCCGCTAGCCGGGGCTGTGATAGTTCTGCGGAGGTCCTGAACTGTCCTCCTGTGAGCCACAGCTGGGGTGCACATTTCCTGCTGTTGCTCCTTGGTTGCCGTGATCTCATCCTCGGTGGCCGTGCGGATCGGGTCGCTGTCGCCGCCAGGGAGTGCCTGGAGCGCAAACTCGTACAGCGCCCGCTGCGCCGCCAGCTTTGCCCTATGCTGTCTGCTCACCGTCACCATGTTGGAGGGGTTCTGGATCCACTCCTGCGGGTGGCTGCTTCCGCGGGGGGTGCCTTGGCAGGCTTGGGCCGCGGCATTGCTCTGCCTCGGGTGGGAGAAAAACTGCTTCGAACAACGACATTTCGTATCCATAGCAGGGCCTCGTTCCCGCAATGGCATCGCAAACGTGAAGCCCAATTCGCCACCGCTGAGCAACGTCCGCACGCCCATCCGGGCCGCCTCGGACCGTCCTCTGGAGGACGGAATCCGGGAAACACGCCCGGCGTTGGAAAATCCTGTCGCCGGAGATCTGGGTAGGGAAACGAACTCTATATACACCGACGCATTGTCTGGCCTGGCACTGAAATTCGCACAGAAAATGGGATCCTGGTGCACGCGGGATCCTGGTGCATAACCCTATGCCCTCGAGAATAAACACTAGGGGATAATAAAATTCGGGGTTCAGGGGGAGATAATCAAAGTAGCCCACCAGACCTCAGCATAATCTCAAAGTAAGAGATGATCAAGAGAAGACCAAGCCGAGCACGTTTTGAGACATCCTTGAGTATATCCTCGGGTTTGTATCTTTCGGGAAAGAGACAGAGAGAGAGACAGAGAACCAGAAACAAAAAGCAAATAAAAAGAAAGGTATTTAAACAAATAAGATAGAGAAAAAAGAGATGGTGAGATGTAGAAAAGAAAAATAAATAACGATAAAAAGCTTGTGAAAGAGAAGAAGAACAATGAAAAAAAGAATAAGAAGAAGAATAACAACATAAATATATATCTATATATATATATAGATATATAGAGAGAGAAAGAAATATAGAGGAGGAGGAGGAGGAAATACAAAAATTTCAAGTTTCAGTATATCAAACCAGAAAAAAAAGGAGAAGAGAAGAGGAGGAAGAAAAGCAAAACTTTCCAATTCCAAATCTATTGCATTTCATTTACAAACGCTCTATACAAATTAATTGTTTTAAGTGCTCGTGTAGGGTAGCTCATGTGCCTCACTTTCCATGGATAATCAACCCCAGGGATAAACAAGTTCAGGGGGGCATGGGGAGAGAGAGAGAGAGGGACAGACAAAAAAAAAGAAATAGAGAAAAAGAGATATAAAGAAATAAAAATATAAATTAAGAAAAAAAAGGAGAAAAGAAGAGGAGAAAAAGCAAAAAAAAACAAATTCCAAATCTATTAGATTTCATTTACAAGCGCTTTGTGAAAAAATATTGTTTTGAGTGCTCGTGTAGGGTAGCTCATGTGCCTCACTTTCCATGGATAATCAACCCCAGGGATAAACAAGTTCAGTCTCGAGTAGATGCTTGTTTCGCTTGAGACATCATCGAGTATATGCTTGTTTCGCTTGAGACATCCTCGACAAGCTTCTCGAATCGCTCGAGACATCCTCGAGTATATGCTTGTTTCGCTTGAGACATCCTCGACAAGCTTCTCGAATCGCTTGAGACATGCTCACAGAATTACTGGTTTCGCTTGAGACATCCTGGAAACATTGCTCGTTTCGTTTGAGTCTGCCTCCCAAAATTCTTGGTTTCGCTTGAGACATCCTGAAAAAAGTGTGATCGCTTCGCTTGATGTTGCTATTTCAACATAACTTGATCTTGCGATCTCAACATAACGTTCCGAGGTGATAATGAAGTTCGGCCTCAACGCTCGCCGCCCAATTTGAATTTTATATAGGGAGACGATAATAAACTCTAATGACTTAAGGGGGGGGGGTAACTTGATTATCATCGGCAAGGGGTTATGTGCTTCGTTGTTTCCCCTGGAAAAACGAGAAGAAAGTGTACACCACACCACCCCGACGTCGTCCCCGAACCTCAGAAAGTCATGAGATTGAAAAACAACCCGCCACTGGTAATGTATGTGTTCCAGTTTCCGACTGGGGATCTGGGGGCCCTCTTCTCTGCGGCATCGGTCGAAGCTGCGCCGTGCCCAGCCAGCTGCGCCCTCACCAAGGCGACCAGACCCAGGAACTCCTCCCGGCCAAGGCTGGGGAGCGGGCTGGCCTGAGAGGGCAGAAAATCCACCCCCACAAGGAGCACCTGGACAAGCAAGGCTAGAGGCCTCCTAGATGGGGTCCGAGTAGATGGGGTCGGAGGATCTCGCCGCATCGCCGATACATCGGCGATGCATCGCCGATGCATCCACGATGCATCGGCGATGCACTGTCGGCGGTGCATGGCGACGTCGGCGTGGAGAAAGTTGGGCCCCACATCGAGCCGCATCGCCGATCCATCGGCGATGCATCGGCGTCGCAGCGCGATCCTCCGACCCCATCCACTCCGACCCCATCCAGGAGGCCTAGAAAGAAGCACCCCGACAAGCGAGGCCGCTCAGTAAACGCACCCAAGGAAAGAATCGAGCAGGGCAGGGCTGTCTAGTAAACACCCAGGGCCGTTCCCTGAGATCTGGCGTAGCGAAAACATCCAAAATCATAAAAAACACTCCCGACGTCCTAGACCCTATCTTTCTGCGTCATTTCTCGAACCGGATCGATCTGTGAGGTCCCAGGGCCCGAAAACAGGGCGGCAACGCCCGGCTCGAAAACATTGAGACGCCAGGATCTCAGGGTTCAGTAAACGCCAGTCGTCGAGGTCTGGGTGGATGTTCCTCCTTTGAGGCCTGCACCAGGGAGAACCACCCGCGGGGCGCCGCGTGCGTGGCGGAGAGGGCGTCGTGGGGCCCGGCGGCGGACCGAGAAGGCCCGCTAGCCAGCCAGAAGAGGCATATCAGGAGGCAACTACTGGGAGGTCTTCTTCGGAAGGACCGATAAGACGAAGCCATGACGAGGATAAACTCCGAAAGGAGAAGAAGAAGAAGAAGAAGAAGAACCGCAATAAACACCGCGAAAGGTGGCGGCCCCGGTACTATCTAGCTGGCAACTCCTCCGCGAAAGTGCTCGTCCCAAAGGCGTCCCTCCACTCCGGTGTAGGGATCCTCTCCTGTGACGGAGCAGGAGGAGACTCGGGGTTTGCCTCGGACTAGGTCTCCACTGGTTGCGCTGTGCAACAAGGAATCTTGAGCCCGAATGGCTGCGGGGGGATCCCACCAGGAGGCAAGGATGGTCGCAGAGGGCACAAGCAAGGATGAAGTTGAAGTAGAGGAGGTGGTGGTGAAGGGAGGCACGAGCAAGGTTCATGTAGAGGGGAGTCAGGGCGAAAGCAAGGACGAGGTGGAGGAGGGCGAGGAGGACACCGACAGAGCTGCGAGAATGGCGGAGGAGATGGTGGGGGTGGAGGGGGGCTCTGCCCCAGGTAACGCTGTCTTCTAAGAAAACCAGTGTTGGTTTCACTATGTCGCGCTGCTCTTCTGAGGGTGGGGCATATGTTTCTGTTTAAGTTCTCCCAGAAGAATGTGTGCAACAGCGAACTGCAAGGATGGAAGACGGCTCCGTGTGGCGGGTTCTGAAAATCCTGAGACGAAGAACGTTGCCATCTCTTGGGAGATAGATGTTCACTTACGTCGGCTTCCACTGGCGGGGCGGCCAAACTTTACTTCCGCCGATTGCCGCCAGCCTTCCGCCACCCTCCGCCGAGGCAGAGATATCGACTCCTTCGATCCTCGAAGGCGAGGCCCTTTCTGGAATGCCTCGTGTCAAAGCAGGCCGCCAAGGACCGAAGAAACCCTTCGAGCAGGGTGTGCCGCTGGCGGAGCGCCTGCATGCCGAAGAGCCACCACGCCCCGAGCGCCCACGGCGACGCGAGGGCGTCGGCGCCGAGCGCGGCGGTGAAGCCGAGCAGGGTCGGCAAAGCCCCTGGGCCCGCGCCTCGCGCCCTCCTCCTCCTCCTCCTCCTCCTCCTCCTCCTCCTCCTCCTCCTCCTCCTCCTCCTCCTCCTCCTCCTCCTCCTCCTCCTCCTCAGCCCATTTCAGCGTCACCCCACGTCCCCAGGGCCTGCCTGTCACCGTAGCCCCATACATCACTGCGCATATGACACGAGGGCGGTGAGCACTCCTTTCTTACTCGCACCGTGCATATCCATGGTATCACGCTTATTCTCTATCTCTTCTTATAACTGTTTCAGCCTATTGCAGAACGATCGAGTTCAAGACATAACATCGCGTTTGCGCTCTAGCGTTCTTCTCCTACAAGGAACTCGTCGTCGCGCTCATGAACTCGACCCTTGTGACGTACATATTTCTCGAGAATATCATGTATTCCAGTTCGGGTACCACCACAAGTACGGCAATGCGCACACGGGCGTTACTATTGCACTGTCGGCACGAAGGTTTTCTCGTAATAATGTCGTATCGATCTCGCACCCGAAACCACAAAGCTTATGGGGACGAGGAGGTGCCGTTCGATGTAAAAACCGACATGCTGATTACACATTCACTTCGGCGTACTTCCCCCCGAACACGGACACCGCTCGCAGCAAACGCGACTATGCTGGCACACTTCGATGGCTGGACGACCTCTATTCTTCCATGCCACCACGTACTTTACCCATCCTCGGCATCGATTCGAACGACCACATCGGATTAGTCCGTACCCCCGCTGGTCATACTTCCACAGATGATTCGTGCACTGGTCCTGTCAATCGCAGCTTGCAGCAACCTCGCACTCAGCAGTTCATTGACTTTCTGCTCAAATACGATTTAGTCCTGCTAAACACGTTCTACAATACTTTTCCCACTTATGATCATGGCGTCTCTGGCAGTACTAGCTACATTGATTTCATAATTGTTCCTCGCAGTGTTTATCTTGCTGGTCACGTTCACAAATGCCAGACCCTTCGCCACCTTGGAGATCGACTTCAATTGGTACAGGCCACCAAACGTGTCGATCACCATCCTGTCTATACTCTCGTGGCCCACAAGCTTCAGTTTGACGGCCCTGAATCAGACAATCATATCCGCTGGGATGTTGACTCACTTGTTCGCTCGTGGTTATTTGGAACCCACAGACAAGAATTTTTACGAGCATTGGACCAATGGGTTTCTGAGAATGCTTCTTATTTGGATGGGCTTCGTGACAAAAGTGTTTCTGAACAGTGGTCCGCCCTTGTTGAACATGGATTATTGCCTATCGCAGCGAAATACCACAGCGCTTCTCAATCACAGTGCCCACACGGACCTCAGCGCCAACTTCTCCTACATCAACGACGAGACTTACGCGATCAGGCCGCCTCCTTCAATGATTTACACAAGGCACGTGGTGATCATCGTTACTTGCATACGGTACTGAGGAGTTGGCTTATCGCACCCCGACCACTACGAGTCAACCGCCTCATTAGACAGCACAACGCACAGCAACGCCGACTACTTCACGACCAACGTCACATGGAATTACAGATCGCACGGCGATCCCGTCGCTTGGCCGAGGCGCGGCACCTGGCTCGACTACTTACTGGCCGCCGTGTTGGTCGACGACTTCGAAATTATCACAAGGCTGCAGTTCGCCAACGTTCTGAAGAAGAACGGTTTCAACAATTATCCCAACCAGGCTCTCAAGGAGGATGGAATTGCATACGCCTTCCTTTATCACAGGTTCGTCAAGAATTTCACGAGGATCATGACAGCCAAACACACGTTGATTATCAGCCCCACATCCTCGGAGAATATGACCTTCATCAGACTCGCCGGTGGATTCGCCAAAGCTCTAATCGTCGCACTCATCCCGCATGGGACGTTCCCAACGAAGTTTGGAAGATGGTACTCTGGCCCGAAAAAAGTTTTCGAGAAGAAGCTCACGGTCTAGGCCATGATGGAGAGTTGTTTCAACCCACCCTATTTATTGAGCGGCTCCAACGTATCCGGGCTATGATCAGAGCTACAGGTCACAGTCCGTTTCAATTTCACCGCAGCCAAGGCTTTCAAGTTCCCAAGAAAGATGACGTCCGCATAGTTCATAGTGCGCCCCCCTTTTCCAAGGCTTATCACAAAAGTCTCCTTCGGCGCCCTGGTAAACCACATCGTCAACCACCCCATCGTGCGTTTGCTGTTCCTGGTCGACGTCGCGAAGAAGCTATTCTTACCAAGCTCGTGGTTTCTCATGGTTTCGCCAAAGCTGGGCTTCGCATAGCGAACCAGCACTACGATGTCGTCAATGCCTTTGCTTCCCCGTCTCACGACATCATGGACGAAGCTACTCATCATATCATGCTCTACAATGACGACGACAACATTGAAGAAGCTGCTGCCGATACCCCAGTGCATATTCTTCAACAAGATGAGCGACTCCTACGCCAACACCATCGGCACGCCCACTGTGCTCTTCAAGCTCACGACAAAGTGGCCGGGTTCGACCCACAGAGTGGTACATTTCAGGGCAACAATGTCGCTACCAACGAGTTCCACGTTCCCTACTGGCGCGCTATAGACGAATGGAGTACCCGTACTCGTGCCCCCCAAATGATCGGGCGATCTCCTATTGATGATTCCGAGGTTGACCTGTCTATTACATCGTTTGTGGACGACCTATGCAAGCAGTTCGTGATTTCGACCCCCGCACAACTCAAGCACATTCAAGATGAACATGATGCCAAGCTGGATCGGTGCTTTGATAGGTTTACCATGGCGCTGCACAAGGGCAAGAGCGAGTCGACTGTCCACTTCGTGGGAGCAGGTGCTCACGCATACCAACGCATGGTTCATTCTCATCAAGATTTTGGCAACGTTCTTCGCGCCGCCCGTTACCTCGGACCATATCTCCACTACAAGAATTGTTGCTATGTCGAACGCCACCTACGACCCCAAGCTGCCAACAAGGCTTGGTTCATTTTTCGTCGCTTCTGGTTTACTCATACTGACCTCCGTTTTCGTGCACTGGTTTTTCGCTGCACTGTCTGGTCTGCACTTCTCTCGGGCCTTACCGCGTTTGCCCTGCACTCCCACGACTACACCGTCTTCGACAAATACGTGAAATTTCGTGCGCGCAAGCTTCTCAAAGGCAAGGCCACGCTCAAGACTCCTCAGATCGACGGCACCATCAAGTATCAGCCCATCCCGACTATCGAGATCTGGCGCAGCATTGGTTTGGCTGATACACTTACAGAACTCCGTACTCAACGATTGAAGTGGTTTCAACAGATCTGCCGTCGTCCTTTACATCATCAAGTGTATGTTACTGATATGTTTGGTCGGCTACCTCACGACGACGGCATGCAGGTTACTCATCCCTGGACAGATCAATTACATATGGATATTCAAGCATTATCACGACTGGAATCAGCTTACTTTCTTGCCGACGTGAACCCCGTCGACCTTCTCACTCCAGGCAACTTACAGGAGGACTTTCTCCTTGTGGACGTGTCCGAGCTTCGTGCACTATAACTATCTGTCTCCATCTCACCACCGCCATACGAATATGACTGCGATGTGCTCCACCCGTCACCATCATCGTGCGATATCCCCTCGGGCGAATATTATTGTGGTATCATGCGTACCGATGGTAACTTATGCACTTGCACGTTCAATATTCTTAAAGCACTTCGGTTACATCGCGCACGTGAGCAGTCTATGCATGGCACGATTACCCTCGACTCGATCGTTCAAGAAGCTATATGTCCATGGTGGTCGACACATTTCGCTATTCGAAAGATTGCACCAGATCACGTACGTCGTAGCTGGTATTACGGCCGTTGTAAAGTCGATCTAAGCTACATTCCGTCACCCCCCATCGTGTCTGTCAGGACATACACATGTTCCATATGTGGCTTATTTGGTTACAGTTTCGAATGCGATGACATCTACGCGTATCGTCACCATGTTCGTACGGCACATATTTCTGGCCCAAGACGCCTCGAGCTCTCAGGATCACTATCTACATTACGATCATCCAAGCCTGACCCACCGAGATTGCGAGCAGATTTCATTTTTCGTGCCCATGGGCCTCGGCATCGCCACCATTGCAGCCCCTCTCGACGCGAAGAAGCGCCGCAAAGGCATCAGCTCGAACGACCTTTTCGTTCTCGTGCTTCCCTCCGTCAGGCTGACCCTCAGTACCGCTATGTTGCCACCGACCACGAGGGCAATCGTGTGGGCAAATGATCAAGTGAACGATAACTCAGAGTTTTGCGCCCAGGCGAAGAATTCTACAGAGAAATTTTCGGAGGCGACGATACAACACAGCAAGGACCAGAAGGTGAAGAAGATGGTGGTCGCCACCCTACACGTTCACGTCTGGAACATATGGATCATGGTTCACAAGCAGAAGTTCCAGGAGAAGGAGCTCGACCCCTTTCAGCTAGTCAACTTGGACATGTATGCGACAAAAATGAAGAGCACGGTCAACGAGACCAAGGACTACGTCCACGCCCCGAAGAAAGAAGTTCGTCGCGGATGCAAGACGGTCGACAGCAAAGAGAAGCGCCTCGAGGCAGGCAGCCCGATCGCCACGGCCCATCAGAGTACTATCGTCCCCATTCTCATCCGCAAGAAGATCACCATGCTCGAAGGAGTTGCACCGCCAAGCGGCATCGAGCACAAGATCAAGAACACTATCGACATGATCGAGGCGTGAGCGCTGCAGCTGACCCTCCAGGCACCCGCCACCGCTCGCCGCCGAGAGACAGGCATCCCCCCACTCGTCCCCGCTCCTCGACGAATCCCCCTTCGCCTCCTCCTCCTCCTCCTCCTCCTCCCTCCTCCTCCTCCTCCTCCTCCTCCTCCTCCTCCTCCTCCTTTTAGTGTGACCGAAGGTCTTCGTTCTTCTTTACGGTTTCAGCTTGCCCGTCAGCGATTCCTAGAGCGTTCGAACTCTGGAAGTGGATTTCAGAATGCACAGCAGTAAGTCTTGCGTGCACTCGTGCTACAGGTATGAGTGCACGACGTTCGCGGCCCTTCGAATTCGTTTCGTTGTGGGCCTGCGTGCACTGTCGTCGGTGGGCCTTGCCCGTGTCGCCGCCCGTTCAGTGTCGCTTCTCTGAGCGTTCGAGCCCCTGTGCAATCGTACTCGTCGCTGCTATTCCATGGCCCGTCGAACTGTCGCTCTTGTGAGTCGTATTACTATTATTATCATTATTAGTATTATTATCATTATTATTAATATTATTATTATTAATATTATGATTATTATTACCTCCTCCTCCTCGTCCTCCTCCTCCTCCTCCTCCTCCTCCTCCTCCTCCGCCTCCTCCGCCTCCTCCTCCGCCTCCTCCTTTCCATGATTATCCTCGTCCTCCTTCTACTCCTTCTCCTTCTCCTCCTCCTCCTCACGGTCGCAATCGCCGCCGCCGCCACCACCGCCATCATCATCGTCATCGGCATCGTCATCATCATCAGCATCATCCTCATGAGTAGCATCATTATCAGCATCATCATCATCATCATCATGATCATCATCATCATCATCATCAGCAGCAGCAGCATCATCAGCATCATCATCATCAGCAGCAGCATCATCATCAGCATCATCAGCAGCATCATCAGCATCGTCATCAGCATCATCATCCCCTGTATCAGCATCAACATCAGCATCAGCATCAGCATCATCAGCATCAGCATCAGCATCAGCAGCAGCATCAGCATCAGCATCAGCATCAGCATCAGCATCATCATCATCATCATCATCATCATCATCATCGTCCGTATCCTCTTCCTCATCAGCATCATCATCGTGATCATCAGCCTAATCAGCAGCAGCAGCCGCAGCCGCAGCAGCAGCAGCATCATCATCAGCAGCAGCATCAGCAGCATCAGCATCATCGTCAGGATCAGCATCGCCACCATCATCAACATGATCAGCCTCATCCTCGTCGTCATCATCATCAACAGCAGCATCAGCAGCATCAGCATCAGCATCATCATCAGCATCAGCATCGGCATCCTCATCATAATCATCATCAGCATCATCAACAGCAGCGTCATCATTATCGTCACCGTCACCACCACCAACAACATCCATGTCGGCGTCATCGTCGTCGTCAGCATCTTCACATGCACAATCAGCATCATCACCACAATCACCATCACAATCAGCAACACTAGCATTCCCATCATCATCATCATCATCATCATCATCATCATCATCAGCATCATCATCATCATCATCATCATCATCAGCATCAGCATCAGCATCATCATCATCATCAGCATGATCATCATCATCAGCATCATCATCATCATCATCATCATCATCACCAGCATCATCATCACCACCATCACCATCAGCAGCAGCAGCATCATCAGCGTCATCATACTCATCAGCAGCAGCAGCAGCCTCTCACCAGCATCATCACAATCAGCATCATCATCCTCATTATCAAGGTCATCAGCAGCATCATCATCGGCATCACCATCATCATCATCATCAGCATCATCATCATCATCATCATCATCATCAGCGTCATCGTCGTTGTCGTCGTCGTTGATGTCGCCATTAGCATCAGCACGACCAACTACATAAATCACCATCACCATCACCACCACCAGTATGACCGTGACTATCATCATCCTTATCACCACCACCACCACCACCATCATCAGCAGCAGCAGTATTATACTCATCATCCCCTTGTCCTCCAGCCCCACCTCCTCCTGGTCATGTCCTGGCCATCCTCCTCCTCCTCATGCTGCTCCCAGTCCTGCCACCGAACTGGACACGCTCTCCCATCTGGGTCCGTCCTCCTCCCTCACCCCTCATCCTCCTTCTCGTTATTCTCCTCAGCCTCCTCTTCATAAAAAAGATGACTCTGAGACATCAGGTACATACAGAAGCAAATGCATCGCTAAGCAGAGACAGTTCATGCCCCGCGGCCCTCAGGTCTGCAACAGGAACTCCGCATCATGGCGTTTCACTCCCCAGCGCCCTCTCCCCGTCTCACCACTGATGGCGCCGATGTGCGTGTTGTATGGCGACACCACCTTCATCGGCGTGTACACGCAGACGTACGTCGCGATTGTGGTGGCCGCCACCTCGCCCACCCTGGCTCTCACGGGGTTCGCCGACCACTGCGCTAGAAGCCAAAGTTTCTGGGGGTCCGCGAGGACTTCTTGGATCGGCGCTGGCCCACTCTGGCGCGCGGAACACTCCAGGAAGGCGCCAGAGGCGCTGCCAGGGAGGTTCAGCGACGGTCCAAGAAATCCGCCCAGACCTCAAACATTATATGCTGATGCTCTTTCTGTTCCTCATCCCGCACCAAGGCCTTCCAGCATGCTCATGCCGAGTTGGTTATAAGGACGGGGTCCGAGTAGCTGGGGTCGGAAAATCGATCCGCCCATACATCGGCGATGCATCGCCCATGCATGGGCAATGCACCGGCGACGTCGGCAGTGCATCGGCGACGTCGGCGTGGAGAAAATCAGGCTCCACATCGAGCCGCATCGGCGATGCATCGGCGATGCGGCGCGATCCTCCGACCCCATCTAGCTCGACCCCATCAAGGAGGCCTAGAAATATGCAGGCAGGGTGAAGAATGGAACGCAGACGAACAATACTAGTGCAGGGCGCCCCCCTTGGAGGCGCACGTCCGAATCGAGCATGTAGCGCAAACATGTTACAGCAGATCGTTGCCTGCCGAGGCGGTAGGTCCAGAAAGCGCCCGCCATCGAGCACTTACACCATAAGATTGCTGAGCGCGCGGGCGCTGCCCCGCAGGGGCCCACGCACACACGACAGACGCGGGTCGTCCGCGGGCCCCCTGACCGGGCGCAGGGCGGCCCTGGGGGACACCCCCAGGGGCTCTGAGGCCGGGCTCCCTCGGGAGCCCGTTCCTGCATGGCCAGATGACTCGGGGTCTCTGACAGCCAGCGGGCTGGGAGATGGACCGGGCGAGGAGGAAAGGGGAGCAGGAGGAGGAGGAGGAGGAGGAGGAGGAGGATGAGGAGGAAATGACAGCTGGGCTGTGCATGCCCGAAGCAGCGTGAAAGGCTGCCGTCGCGTCGACGCCGAGGACACCGCGGATCGCACCAGCGCTTCAATAAAGCAACGCGATAGTCATCAAATGAACGTCAGAACATCCGACACGAGAAATAGATCACTGCGGCACAAGAACAGCTCATACAGAAAGCCCGCCCGCATGAAGCAAGATTGCTACGAGACACCCGCCCTGAGTACAAAACAATGGCGCTGAAGACCTGTGAATCAAACGACTGCCCTAGCGATGGTCCCCAAACGAATGTCAGAAACATCCGACCAGAAAACTATATATATGTGCCATTGCAGCCATACACAGCCTGCAGAACGCAAGATTACTATGAGACAACCACACTGGACACAAAATGTGGCAACGAAGGCCTGAGCAGAGTACTACGTATGCATGTTCCAAGGCTTGGGCCGCGCTGCATCAGCGTTTAATTTAAACACCGCGATGGTCCTCAAATGAATGTCAGAAACATCCGACACAAGAAATACATCATTGCAATCACAGGCCCGCATGAAGCAAGATTGCTATTAGACACTGGCCCTAAATCCGCCACCGTGCCCATGAAGCACGAGTTGGGGTTAGGCCTCAGTCCTCAGTCCTGAGGATTATTCATGGGCTTACGCCGCACCGCCGACCCCTTGAGGGGCTCCTGGTAGGTCTCTCGGGGGTCTCCTGGCAGCACTTTTGAAGCCTTTGGGGAGCCGTTTTGGGGCCTCTGGAGCACCCCAGGAGAGCTCCAAGCCGGCCCAGAGAGGCCTCCAAGACGGCTTCCGACGGCTTCAGGCGGGCCACGAATGCCCTAAGACGGACAAAGAGGCCTCCAAGATGGCCCCAGAACGGCCCAGGAGGCCCTAAGACTGCCCCTAAGAGAGCCCCAAGACGGCCCAAGAGGCCCCCAAGAGGCTCAAGCTCCAAGACAGCCCTGGAACACCCCAAGAGGGCCCCAAGAGGCCCAAATGGGGCCCCCAAAATGCCTCCAAGGGGCTCCCGTGTAGCTCCCAGGGGGCGCCGAGAGGGCCCCCAAAGGCTCCCAGGAAGACTCCTCCTCCGCCTCCTCCTCCTCCCTCCTCCTCCTCCTCCTTCCCCTCATCATCCTGATCTTCCCCGCCATCCTCCCCCAAGTGTTTCCCAGGGTTTCCACAACGGCTGGGGGAACACATGATCAGATAGCTTGGCCATATGGGCGACTCCGAAAGGCAGGGGCGGCGGTGATTCGCCGTAGGCGTCTTCGATACACCAAAAAAACGAAGAAACCCTGAGCATACCATCACTCATGCATGTGACAAGGCATGGAGAGCGCTGGATCAGCGTCTAATCCAAACACCGCGATGGTCCCCAGGCGAATGTCAGAAACATCGAAACGAGAAACACCTCATTGCAATCAAAGGCCTGCATGAAACAATATTGCTATTAAACACCCGCCCTGAAAACAAAACAAATTGGCGACGAAGGCCTGATCATAACATCACGTTTGCAGATTCCAATGCACGGACCGAACTGCAGCAGCGTGTGAGTAAAACGCAACGATGGTGTCCAGATGCTTGTCAGAAACATCCGACGCAAGAAATCCATCATTTCAGCCACAGATGCCCTACTATTGGGAGCCCGCATTAAGCAAGAGTGATTTGAGGCAGCCGCACTGAATACAACAAAGAGCAGAGCAGAACGTAAATTGTGCAGATTCCAATGTCTGGGCCGCCTTGCATCAGCGTTTAATTAAACACAACGATGGCCCACAAATGCATGTTAGAAACATCCGACACGATAAATACATCATTGCAGCCACAAGTATAACTAGTACACTCCGAATATCGCAATAAAGGGAAGGAGTCACAACCCTCCCAAACAAGCACTTTTAGACCCCCGCCAGACCAGCCATGAGATGGTGGCCTGTTTGTCCAGACCCCACTGGAGCCCTCACAGGGAACTCAAATCAGACCCACCCCCAAATCAGACCACCACTCTTTTATTGTGAAACCCGGACTACGCAGCCGTGAATGAGATGGCTATGAGACGGCCTCTGTGAAAAGAACACAAACTGGCGAATATGCTCTGAGCACAACAAGGCGTGGGCATGTTCCAAGGCATGGGCCGAGCTGCATCAGCGTTTAATTAAAACACCACGGTGGTTTCCAGACGAATGTCAGAAACATCCAACGAGAGAAATACAGCTTTGCAACCACTAAACAAATAATTTACGCAGCCCGCGCGAAGCAAGTTTACGACACCCTCCGTGAATGTAAAATGATGGCGAAGAAAATCTGAGCATAACATCACTTATGCATGTTCCAAGGCATGGGCCCCGCTGCATGAGCGTTTCATCAAAACACTGCGATAATCCTCAGATCAATGTCATCAACATCCGACGCGAGAAAAACCTCGGTGCAGCCGCAAGTACAACTAATATACGCAGCCCGCACGAATCACTATGGCAATGCGACACCCTCCGCGAATACAAAAGAACGGTAAAGAAGGTCTGAATGTTCCAAGGCATGGGCCGAGCTGCATCAGCGTTTAATTAAAACATAGCGATGGTCCACAGATGCATGTCAGAAACATCCGACATGAGAAATGCATCATTGCAGCCACAAGTACACCCAGTATACGCAACCCACATGAAGAAAATCTGGTGAGAGACACCCTGGTGAATGCAAAATAATGACAAAGAATGCCTGAGCATAACATCATGCATGCATGTTCACAGGCAGCGGCCGAGCTGCATTGGCGCCCAATTAAAACACCGCGATGGTCCCCAGGTGGATATCAGAAAAATCCGGCACGAGTAATCGATCATTGCCGCCACAGAAAACATGTAGTCTACGCAGCCCGCGTGAAGCAAGATGGCTATGAGACACCCTCCGTGAATGTAAAATGATGGCGAAGAACATCTGAGCATAACATCACTTATGCATGTTCCAAGGCATGGGCCCCGCTGCATGAGCGTTTCATCAAAACACTGCGATAATCCTCAGATCAATGTCATCAACATCCGACGCGAGAAAAACCTCGGTGCAGCCGCAAGTACAACTATTATACGCAGCCCGCACGAATCACAATGGCAATGCGACACCCTCCGCGAATACAAAAGAACGGTAAAGAAGGTCTGAATGTTCCAAGGCATGGGCCGAGCTGCATCAGCGTTTAATTAAAACATAGCGATGGTCCACAGATGCATGTCAGAAACATCCGACATGAGAAATGCATCATTGCAGCCACAAGTACACCCAGTATACGCAACCCACATGAAGAAAATCTGGTGAGAGACACCCTGGTGAATGCAAAATAATGACAAAGAATGCCTGAGCATAATATCATGCATGCATGTTCACAGGCAGCGGCCGAGCTGCATTGGCACACACTTAAAACACCGCGATGGTCCCCAGGTGGATATCAGAAAAAATCTGGCACGAGTACTCGATCATTGCCGCCACAGAAAACATGTAGTCTACGCAGCCCGCGTGAAGCAAGATGGCTATGAGACACCCTCCGTGAATGTAAAATGATGGCGAAGAAAATCTGAGCATAACATCACGTACGCATGTTCCAAGGTATGGGCCCCGCTGCATGAGCGCTTAATCAAAACACTGCGATAATCCTCAGATCAATGTCATCAACATCCGACGCGAGAAAAACCTCGGTGCAGCCACAAATACAACTAATATACGAAGCCAGAGAACACCCGCCGTGAATTCGAAAGAATGGCAAAGAAAGTCTCAACAGAACGTCATGCATGCATGTTCCAAGGCATGGACCCAGCTGCATCTGCGCTTAATGCAAACACCACGATGGTGTCCAGATGAAGGTCAGAAACGTCCGTCACGATAAATGCATATCTGCAGCCATAAGTACACCTAGCAAACGCGGTCCACAGCAAGTAAGATTGGTATGAGACACCCTCGAAAATGCAGATTAATAACGCAGAGCGTCTGAACATCACATCGTTCTTGCATGTTCCAAGGCATAGGCCGAGCTGCATCAGCGTTTAATTAAAACATAGCGATGGTCCACATATGCATGTCAGAAACATCCGACACGAGAAATACATCATTGCAGCAACAAGTACAACTAATTACCACTAATTTACGCAGCGCTCGCGTGAAGCAGAATGGCTCTGAGAGGCTCTCCCTGAATCCGCCACCGCGCCTTCAGCACGTAGTGGAGTGCCCCACGGCTCACGCAGCCCTGAGAGGTACAAGGGTTGCAAGATCCGAAGGGCCCGGGCCCAAAATTTCCCAGCCGCTCCCGGGATTTACCAGGAGAGTTCCTGGGGCCCCCCGGGGAGTTCCTCGGCCGGCCCAAGACGACCTCCCGACCCCTCGAGAACGTGTCAAGAACCGCCTCAGGTGGCCAAAGAAGGCCCCGGAGCGGTCCACGACAGCTTCGACGGCCCATTGCGGCCCCAAGACGGCCCAAGGGGCCCAGAAGACTTCTCAAGAAGGCGACTTCGGGTCGGCAGCCCCCTTGCGGTAGACGCCCAGGACGGCATGTCCCTGGCAGGGGAAGCCGCCGACAACCAGCACGTTCACGATCCCCCCATGCTCGCGAAGCAGCTGGGCGAGGACCGCCGGGCCGGCGAGGTACACGTCGACCAAGTGCGCGGTTGCAGGGTAGACGCGCCTGACGACCCGCACCGCGTCGGCGTCAGTCTCCAAGGACAGGCGGCAGGCGGGCACCAGCCTAAGGATCTCGAAGGCCCGTCGGGCTCCGTCGATGCCCGAGAAGGCCGAGATCAACCCGACGACCTCCTCGCACGCCGAATTGAGAGGGTGGACGCCTCGCGTGGCTAGGAGCTTGCCTCGCGGCGCCAGGCCAGCGGAGTACACCGCGGCCCCAGCAGCCTCCGACGCGTCGGACGCGGCGACCAGCGGACCGACCTCGAGCCGCACGTCGGGAACAGACAGCGCCGCGAGGGCCATCGCGATCAGCAGGGCCTCGACCACCCCGATGGAAATCTGGCCGCCAGCATGCAGCGTAGCCAGCCACCGTCTGGCGTTGACGGACGCGGCGGCCAGGGGTCGCCAAAAGCACTGCACCCGCGCCCAGCGTCCGAAGGGCACCTGCATGGGACGGCGGCTGACCCGCCGCTTGCCGAGGACCCACAGGGCGTGGCCGGTCAGCTCGGTAGTGTAGCTGAGCGGAGGCCGGCGCGTGCCCGTGACGCCGCCGATGAGCTCCCCGAGCGTCGTGACCTCTGCCGCGCGGTGGACGTCCTTGCCAGGGGAGCTGGGCGAACCCGCCACGGCGTAGCACTCGCTGCCTTGGCTGAGGAGAGCTGGCACAGTCGCCCCCAGCGCCGCCGCCTGCTCCTTCGGCAGACCCTCTGCGATCTCGAGACTGTCGATGTAGACGATCGATTTTGCTGCAGGGCAGGGCGCCTCTGCCCCGAAGGGCAGGCGCCGCGCGCGCGATCTCCGCGCCAGGCGCCAGACCACGCGGCACCTTCTGCGACCGCCGCAGCACGTTGCGATGCAGGTGGGTCGTCACGCCCACGGCGCTGACCCAGCCCATGCCGATGACCCTCAGGGCAATCCGAGTCGGCGACGGCTCAGCATCTCCAACCATGGACGCGGGGACAGGGGGGCCGATGACCATGCGGGGCCACCGTGCGGGAGGCGCCCTGACCACGTAGAGGAACGCCTTCCTGTCGGCCCCGCTCCAGAGCAGCTCCTCGCCCTGGGTCAGCACCAGGCCGTTCAGCTGCCCCATCGTCGGCATCGCCGGCGCGTCGCCCGCGACGCACCTCTGGCACGCGCTCGACGGCAACAGGTTGGTGATCAGCCGCAGGGCAGCAGACGACCGGGGGTTCGCGGGGCTTCGGCACACCGAAAGCGCCATTGATCAGCGGCCCGTGTCGCGCGCGGCGACCTCATCCTCCGAGATCGGCCCGATCATGCCCCGTTCGAAGAGGGCGCTCACGGTCTGGTGCCACTCCGGACCATGAGCCCACACACGGGCCGTAGTCGCCGCGCGCCGCCGCTGGTTCGCCGGCAGCGTCACGAGGCTTGGGTCGAGGAGGGCCGCACTGACAAAGCCCGTGGTGACGTCAGCGGCCTCCATCGAGGCAGCCACTCCGGCTGGCGGGAGCGCCTCCAGCACCCGCTCCGAGGTCAGCCTGTGCAACAAGCCTTGCTGCAGAAGAGGCGATGCATCACAAACAAAATATGCACTCGCCAGTGCCGGCACTGACATCAGAGATCCGCACTAGCCTCGCCTGTGTCGTTTTTCCTGGTCCTCACTGCAGGGTCGGGCATGGACTAACCCAGTTCAGCGCAAACCTGGCTCAGCCAACTTTGGGGATAACTGCGCTGCCTTTTCGGGGGGAGGCTTCCCGAACCGGGCTCCGCCAATGTGTAAGGCCACCTTCAAGGCCGCGACTGGCTCCCGATCCCGGCTCAACCAAACTCTGGCTCTGCAGGATCCTGCAGGATCCGGCGTTCTGGTTGGCCCCCGCTGGCGCTGAGCCCCGTCACGCGAGCCCCGACAGAGAGCCCGACCTGCTTTTGCAATGGAAGCGCTCGCATGCGGTCCCCGACTCACCCCGGCCGCGCCGCCTCGGGCCCCGCGTGCCCCTGTGGAAAGATAACAGGGGCTCCAGCATGGGGGGCGAGGCCTACATGCGGCTGCCGTCCGGATTCGGCACGCCTCTCGCTCACCCCGTGCCCCAAAGGAGCCGCCGTGCTCCCATGAGAAACGCTGCGTGGGGAACGAAGGGGCTTCTCTGGCCACGGCGAGCCTCGGCCACGAAAAGGTTCCCCACCCTGAGGAACGGCCTGAAAACTGGAGCCCCTCCTGAGCCCAATGTGGTCCATATTTCAGCGTCTTGACTGCACGAGCGACTCCTATCCCGACCTCTGGCGCCCCGTAACCTGGCCGTTGTTCATCGCTGGGCGAGCTCCTGGAGCTAATCCGTGCCGTCTTGGTCAGGAAGCCCCTGATCGTTACCATCATCATCATCATCATCATCATCATCATCAGCATCATCATCATCATCATCATCATCATCATCATCATCATCATCATCATCATCAGCATCAGCAGCAGCAGCAGCATCCTCCTCCTCCTCCTCCTCCTCCTCCTCATCATCATCATCATCATCAGCATCATCATCATCATCATCATCAGCATCATCATCAAGATTTGGTCAATATGGGGGGGCCAAGAAACACGTCTTGGGCCAACCAGCGTCCTGAGGATCATCGACCCTTACAGGGAGCCCCAGCCGCGATCCCCCGTCACACGGTCGGCTGGCCGCCGTCAGAGAGCCAGGGGTCTCGAGAACCAACTGGAAAGACCATCAAGAGGCCAAAGCTTAGCATTCAGCGAACTGCAAAGCGATGCAAGCTCGAGGATTGAGGAGCGACACGTGCGAGAGCCTGTGGGCGCGCCGGTGGGGTCTGAGGAACTCCTGGGGCAGGAGGGGCTGCACTGCTTTCGGCAAGGGTGTGGCGTAGACCGACCGTTGGCAGCTATATGCAGACGAGTGGTAAGGGAAACGAAGACTAGGATGGCCAGTTGCGTCTGGCAATGACGACACTTACTGGCAACTTAAAGCCATGTGCAGAAAGAGGGCAGCAAGTGCGTTCGGTTGTGATAAAACCGAGCATCTCCCTCTGGGCAATGGTAGAAGAAGCAGGATGTGCGATCGTAAGTGCCAGAGGAGGTCAGATGTCAGAGGTGAAACACTGGACTGCATCAGCTGATCCTCAGCTAGGGATAGTTGGTGCATGGATCTCGTCATACCTCCCTCGGATGCTGTCAACGTCAGGCACCCTGGTGGCCCAGCTCCTGCTCAGAGGTCCAGACATCTGCCGCAGAGCGCCATCCAGCAACCTGGCACTGGCGAGTCTAGGCATTCCGCATGGCATGGGCTCAGCAGCGCAACAAGCCTTGCGGCAGAAGAGGCGATGCATCACATACAAAATATGCACTCGCCAGTGCCGGAGGAGGTCAGATGTCAGAGGTGAAACACTGGACTGCATCAGCTGATCCTCAGCCAGGGATAGTTGGTGCATGGATCTCGTCATACCTCCCTCGGATGCTGTCAACGCCAGGCACCCTGGTGGCCCAGCTCCTGCTCAGAGGTCCAGACATCTGCCGCAGAGCGCCATCCAGCAACCTGGCACTGGCGAGTCTAGGCATTCCGCATGGCATGGGCTCAGCAGCGCAACAAGCCTTGCGGCAGAAGAGGCGATGCATCACATACAAAATGTGCACTCGCCAGTGCCGGAGGAGGTCAGATGTCAGAGGTGAAACACTGGACTGCATCAGCTGATCCTCAGCCAGGGATAGTTGGTGCATGGATCTCGTCATACCTCACTCGGATGCTGTCAACGTCAGGCACCCTGGTGGCCCAGCTCCTGCTCAGAGGTCCAGACATCTGCCGCAGAGCGCCATCCAGCAACCTGGCACTGGCGAGTCTAGGCATTCCGCATGGCATGGGCTCAGCAGCGCAACAAGCCTTGCGGCAGAAGAGGCGATGCATCACATACAAAATATGCACTCGCCAGTGCCGGGGGAGGTCAGATGTCAGCGGTGAAACACTGGATTGCATCAGCTGATCCTCAGCTAGGGATAGTTGGTGCATGGATCTCGTCATACCTCACTCGGATGCTGTCAACGTCAGGCACCCTGGTGGCCCAGCTCCTGCTCAGAGGTCCAGACATCTGCCGCAGAGCGCCATCCAGCAACCTGGCACTGGCGAGTCTAGGCATTCCGCATGGCATGGGCTCAGCAGCGCAACAAGCCTTGCGGCAGAAGAGGCGATGCATCACATACAAAATGTGCACTCGCCAGTGCCGGAGGAGGTCAGATGTCAGAGGTGAAACACTGGACTGCATCAGCTGATCCTCAGCTAGGGATAGTTGGTGCATGGATCTCGTCATACCTCCCTCGGATGCTGTCAACGTCAGGCACCCTGGTGGCCCAGCTCCTGCTCAGAGGTCCAGACATCTGCCGCAGAGCGCCATCCAGCAACCTGGCACTGGCGAGTCTAGGCATTCCGCATGGCATGGGCTCAGCAGCGCAACAAGCCTTGCGGCAGAAGAGGCGATGCATCACATACGAAATGTGCACTCGCCAGTGCCGGGGAGGTCAGATGTCAGAGGTGAAACACTGGACTGCATCAGCTGATCCTCAGCTAGGGATAATTGGTGCATGGATCTCGTCATACCTCACTCGGATGCTGTCAACGTCAGGCACCCTGGTGGCCCAGCTCCTGCTCAGAGGTCCAGACATCTGCCGCAGAGCGCCATCCAGCAACCTGGCACTGGCGAGTCTAGGCATTCCGCATGGCATGGGCTCAGCAGCGCAACAAGCCTTGCGGCAGAAGAGGCGATGCATCACATACCAAAAGTGCACTCGCCAGTGCCGGGGGAGGTCAGATGTCAGAGGTGAAACACTAGACTGCATCAGCTGATCCTCAGCTAGGGATAGTTGGTGCATGAATCTCGTCATACCTCCCTCGGATGCTGCAACGTCAGGCACCCTGGTGGCCCAGCTCCTGCTCAGAGGTCCAGACGTCTGCCGCAGAGCGCCATCCAGCAACCTGGCACTGGCGAGTCTAGGCATTCCGCATGGCATGGGCTCAGCAGCGCAACAAGCCTTGCGGCAGAAGAGGCGATGCATTACATACGAAATGTGCACTCGCCAGTGCCGGAGGAGGTCAGATGTCAGAGGTGAAACACTGGACTGCATCAGCTGATCCTCAGCTGGGGATAGTTGGTGCATGGATCTCGTCATACCTCCCTCGGATGCTGTCAACGTCAGGCACCCTGGTGGCCCAGCTCCTGCTCAGAGGTCCAGACATCTGCCGCAGAGCGCCATCCAGCAACCTGGCACTGGCGAGTCTAGGCATTCCGCATGGCATGGGCTCAGCAGCGCAACAAGCCTTGCGGCAGAAGAGGCGATGCATCACATACGAAATGTGCACTCGCCAGTGCCGGAGGAGGTCAGATGTCAGAGGTGAAACACTGGACTGCATCAGCTGATCCTCAGCTAGGGATAGTTGGTGCATGGATCTCGTCATACCTCCCTCGGATGCTGTCAACGTCAGGCACCCTGGTGGCCCAGCTCCTGCTCAGAGGTCCAGACATCTGCCGCAGCCATCCAGCAACCTGGCACTGGCGAGTCTAGGCATTCCGCATGGCATGGGCTCAGCAGCGCAACAAGCCTTGCGGCAGAAGAGGCGATGCATTACATACGAAATGTGCACTCGCCAGTGCCGGAGGAGGTCAGATGTCAGAGGTGAAACACTGGACTGCATCAGCTGATCCTCAGCTAGGGATAGTTGGTGCATGGATCTCGTCATACCTCCCTCGGATGCTGTCAACGTCAGGCACTCTGGTGGCCCAGCTCCTGCTCAGAGGTCCAGACATCTGCCGCAGCCATCCAGCAACCTGGCACTGGCGAGTCTAGGCATTCCGCATGGCATGGGCTCAGCAGCGCAACAAGCCTTGCGGCAGAAGAGGCGATGCATCACATACAAAATATGCACTCGCCAGTGCCGGAGGAGGTCAAATGTCAGAGGTGATACACTGGACTGCATCAGCTGATCCTCAGCTAGGGATAGTTGGTGCATGGATCTCGTCATACCTTCCTCGGATGCTGTCAACGTCAGGCACCCTGGTGGCCCAGCTCCTGCTCAGAGGTCCAGACATCTGCCGCAGAGCGCCATCCATCAACCTGGCACTGGCGAGTCTAGGCATTCCGCATGGCATGGGCTCAGCAGAGCAACAAGCCTTGCGGCAGAAAAAGCGATGCATCACATACAACATGTGCACTCGCCAGTGCCGGAGGAGGTCAGATGTCAGAGGTGAACACTGGACTGCATCAGCTGATCCTCAGCTAGGGATAGTTGGTGCATGGATCTCGTCATACCTCCCTCGGATGCTGTCAACGTCAGGCACCCTGGTGGCCCAGCTCCTGCTCAGAGGTCCAGACATCTGCCGCAGAGCGCCATCCAGCAACCTGGCACTGGCGAGTCTAGGCATTCCGCATGGCATGGGCTCAGCAGCACAACAAGCCTTGCGGCAGAAGAGGCGATGCATCACATACAAAATGTGCACTCGCAAGTGCCAGAGGAGGTCAGATGTCAGAGGTGAAATACTGGACTGCATCAGCTGACCCTCAGCTAGGGATAGTTGGTGCATGAATCTCGTCATACCTCCCTCGGATGCTGTCAACGTCAGGCACCCTGGTGGCCCAGCTCCTGCTCAGAGGTCCAGACATCTGCCGCAGAGCGCCATCCAGCAACCTGGCACTGGCGAGTCTAGGCATTCCGCATGGCATGGGCTCAGCAGCGCAACAAGCCTTGCGGCAGAAAAAGCGATGCATCACATACAACATGTGCACTCGCCAGTGCCGGAGGAGGTCAGATGTCAGAGGTGAAACACTGGACTGCATCAGCTGATCCTCAGCTAGGGATAGTTGGTGCATGAATCTCGTCATACCTCCCTCGGATGCTGTCAACGTCAGGCACCCTGGTCAGCTCCTGCTCAGAGGTCCAGACATCTGCCGCAGAGCGCCATCCAGCAACCTGGCACTGGCGAGTCTAGGCATTCCGCATGGCATGGGCTCAGCAGCGCAACAAGCCTTGCGGCAGAAGAGGCGATGCATCACATACAAAAAGTGCACTCGCCAGTGCCGGAGGAGGTCAGATGTCAGAGGTGAAACACTGGACTGCATCAGCTGATCCTCAGCCAGGGATAGTTGGTGCATGGATCTCGTCATACCTCCCTCGGATGCTGCCAACGTCAGGCGCCCTGGTGGCCCAGCTCCTGCTCAGAGCTCCAGACATCTGCCGCAGAGCGCCATCCAGCAACCTGGCACTGGCGAAACGAGGAGTTCCGCACGGCATTGAACAGTCATCACAACAAGAAGAGGGACAACATCACAAACAAAAAACTGAAAACAGCCAGTGCCAGAGTGAGTGCGACGTCAAAGGTGAAGCACTAGAGTGCATTAGCTTCTCCTCAGCTAGCGATGATTGATGCGTGGATCTCATCATGAGGCTCGGCTCGCTAGCGCAGCAAGCCTTTTTGAAAAACACGACAAACATCAAACAATATGTGTGAAAAAGGTCAGAGAAGGTCAGACGTCGAAGATGAAACGCTGGACTGCATCCGCTGATCCCCGGCTAGGGATAGTTGAAGCATGGATCTCGTCATACCTCTCTCGGATGCCGTCAACATCAGGCGAAGCTGTGGCCAAGCTGCTGCTCAGAGGAACATCTGCCGCAGATCGCCATCAAGCAACACGGCTCTGGCGAAACGAGGAATTCCGCATGGAATGGGTTTCTTGCTGCAGAAGGGCCGATGCATCATAAACAAAATATGGAAAAAAACATGCCCGAGGAGGTCAGATGTCAGAGGTAGAACACTGGCCTGCATCAGCTTATCCTCAGCTAGAGATAATTGTTGCGTGGATCTTGTCGTACTGTCAACGTCAGGCGACCGGGTGGCCCAGCTGCAGCTCAGAGGTCCAGACACCTGCCGCAGATCGCCATTCAGCAACACGTCCCTGGCGAAACGAGGAATTCCACATGGCATGGGCTCAGCAGCGCAACAAGCCTTGCTGCAGAAGATGCGATGCATCACAAACAAAGTATGCAGTCGCCAGTGCCAGAGTAGGTCAAATGTCAGAGGTGAAGCACTGGACTGAATCAGCTTACCCTCAGAATGTGTGGATCTCGCCATACCTCCCTGCTCAGAGACCGCCTAGGCATCTGTCGCAGATCGCCATCAAGCAACACGGGTCTGGCAAAACGAGGACTCCTACATGTCAAACATGGCACTGAACCATCAGCGCAGCAAGCCCTGCTGCAGAAGCAGAAGCAGCATCACTGACAGCATGTGCAGTGGCTGGTGCCAGAGGAGGCCCGATGTACAGCAGGCTCCGCGTGGATCATTCAACCACTGGCAATCGCTTTGGGCGCCCGAGTTATCCGGGGTAACTCGGGTCCGGGGTAACTCGGGTTCGGACTCCCGAAAAGGAACCCGAGTTAGCCCTGACCCGAGTTACCCCTGATGATGTGGGGCTCTGGACGCCCGAGTTATCCGGGGTAACTCGGGTCCGGGGTACCTCGGGTTCGGATTCCCAAAAAACGAACCCGAGTTAGCCCTGATGATGTGGGGCTCTGAATCGCTGCTTTGCGACAGCGCAGGCCGCTCGACGTCGGCCTCCTACGCGCCACCGGCGCCCGCGCCGGGGTCGCCGCTGGGCCGACACGCCGCGAACCTGCCGCACCTGAGCACCGTTTCACCGACCCCCATCCCCACCAGCGTGGGCCGGGCCCCGCGGGCCGATTTGCCCCCCCGATGGGGATATGTTTGGACGCCCGAAATGGGTACGGAAAGAATGGATACAATGCCCAACAGCAAATGTTGTCCCAAGCCAACAGCGGCCGCTGTTGGGCAGGCGGCCTTCTGTCTCGAATGGACACAGGCCGCGGCGACACCGACAGCGAATCCTGTTCAGAATGAACAGGAAGTGCTGTTGGGCATCGTACCCATTCTTTCGTTACCCATGTCGGGCGTCCCAAGGGCTGCTCTCTTCGGGCTTCGAGGGGCATGTCCCCAGCTGAGGTGGTGAGACGGTGGGGCTCGAGATGCGGATGGGGATGGGGATGGGGATCGGCTAAACGATACCGAGCACCACTCTCGGTGCCGCCGGCTCGAGCCGGCGAGGGTCCGCCCCCCCCCTCCCCGAGACCGCGGCGGTGGCGGGCGTGGCGCCCGCCGCGAGCACCGCGAGGCCCAGGGAGCCGGACGCGACCGCGAACCTCGCGGCGTCCTCGCGGGAAATCTGTCCTGGCGGCTTGCGGGTCGCTGCGCGTCGGCTGGCCGTCGGTGATGGGCCTGTCTTCCACCACCACCACCACCACCGTAAGTTGGAGGGGGGAAGGAGGTGGAGGACGAGGAGGAAGAAGAGGAAGAAGAGGAGAAGGAACCCCTCCCCCTCCTACGTATGGTTGTGGTGGCGATGGAAAACAAGCCCACCAGTCGGCCCTCGCTCCTCAGTGCCATCTCCTTTCGTAAGGCGTCGGGCTGCGGCAGGCAGTCCCGACTGGCCCCAGCAGGCCCCCGAGTAGCCCCAGCTGGACTAGACAGGCCCCCCGAGGACCCACGGCGGTCTCAACACCCTCCGGCGGCGCCCCTGGAGCGCTTCGCGCCCGAAAGTTGAGGTGTTGAGACCGTCCCAGACTACTCGGGGGGCCTGCTGAGGCCAGCTGGGACCACTCGGGGGGCATATTGAGGCTAACCTTGACGACCTGAGAGAGCTCTGAGCGCAATCCCGAAGCCTTACCAATCTCCATCCCCGGCGTGATTTTCCTGCCCCGTTCCTGCACCACCCGCATTTCACAATTCAGCGGTCGGCCGCACTCGTTGAAGTTCACGGGTTTTGCACGTGAAGACAAAGGAAGATAAAAATCGTCCCGGCTGGATCCCAACTTGACCTCCAACCTTTGACTGCAGCCCACCGGCGCGTCAACGGAAAAAAATGTGTTCGCGTGTGTTGGATGATGTCGTTTGGTCCGTATCCCAGATCCAGATCGGGAAGCCAGGATCTGAAATCTCGCATCCATGACCGAAGATCGAAGATCGATGACCTCAGTCCCCCATAATCAGTCTTCGAGAGAGCGTCGATCCTCGAAGCACGAGCCCCTCGATCATCAAGCCTGCAGGAGCTACCGATGTCTCCACCGGGGATCCCCACGGGACCTTCACGGACCTCGGCAATGACCTCCTCCAAAGGAGGACTCACTCCACAGGACCTCCAGAGGACCTACGGAAGACCTCCAAGGATCTCCACAGGACGTCCAGGGGGCCCGTGAGGCCACCAGAAGCCTCCAGAGACCTTTGGGGCCTCGGGCCTCTGAGGGGCTTCCGCAGTCCTCCGGAAGCGGAGGTCGTCATCGGTCGTCGTCGTCGTCGCCGTCGTCGTCGCTGCCGTCCGTCATCGTCCTCGTCGTCCGTCGCCATCGCAATCGCCGTCGCCTTCGCCCTCGCCCTTTCCGTCGCCGTCGACGTCGCCCTCCTCTTCCTCCTCGTCCTGCTCAACCTCCTTCACTTCACTTCACTCTCCAATTCAAGCATAGTTCAACAATATCAACTTCGATGCTCTGGGCACGCCTGCACTTCGGCACATCAAAATTTACATATCAGTGTCGCCGAGGAGCCGCGACACAGAACGACTGAGCTCGGTCGGAACGCGTGCTGCTCGCAGGGCGGTGGCCCATCAAGACAAACCCGACGGCCCAACCCATCACCACCCGACCCACAGGAGCCACAGGGGCCCCAGCAGCAGTCCCACACGAGCCATCCCCCAGAGCAGCTCCAGGCCCCCCACTTCCCACGGAGGTCCAGAGCCACTCGCGAGCGAACAAGCCCGAGCAGGCCAGAGCACATTCTCCCATTTAATGTAACGCGTTAGAAAGTTTTCGCCCTGGAGTGCGCGCACATAACCCCATATAGTTCCTATCGATTTTTTTTGTCGACGCCACTCTGGCGCAAAACTGCCCTGATTTGACAGCCCAGACGGGGCGGGTCGGGAAAAACAGGAACAGGGCCGCCACTAGGCAGCACAACTACATGCCCCTGATGCCCTCGGCAAGCGCGCCCCTTGGGGCGCGGCCAAGCTGTCCGGCTCCTCTCGCTGCTCTCAGAATATGCACAAGGACCGTTATAATCTCCGCAAGCTCACGGTTCTCGATCGCGGGCAACCCCATGTCCATCGGGCCCCACTGAAGCATCCTTACCCGCTGGGGACATGCGCGCCCCCCCCCCCCGCATATCAGCCTGCTGCTCGTCGAGCTCCCGAGCGGCCCCCGCGCCCCTTGCCACGAGCACGCGGCCCCGAAGACAAAGAGCGAACCCCATCACATTCGAATCGAACGCGTTCGAAAACCCGCGCTCTTCGATCCACATCGATGCGTCCTCGGGGGGGCACTTTTCCACCATCGCACGGACCCTCGCGCCGATGCCCCTGCACTTACGGACCTCCAAAGGGCAATCTCCCCGATTCGAGGAGCTGTCGGTACCTTAGGGGAACGCTCAATACACGTCAGGTTCTGGAGGGCCCAAGTCGCGCCTTTTTCCTTTCCTCTCCGCCACCGCCAAATATTCCTTGCGTTCCGACGCCTCCGCCGCCGCCAATGCATGGGCCTTGGGCAGATAAGCCTGGGTTCCGCTGCGCGCGTGAGGCCCCGCGAAAGGGAAACTTGCGCTGAACTGACTCCCTAGACACCTCCTTCATGGCCACCTCCGGGGGCTGCGGACCGCCCACTGCGGGGCCTGTCGGGAGGAGCCGCGACATCAGTCAGGAACGCCTTCGAGCAGGACTCAACCTCGTCACCAATCTGAAAGCCGAAATCAATGATATGCCAGTCGAGGCACGGCTTGAGACGGGCGTCGAAAGAATGCGAAGCGCGGCACAACTGGATCCTCAAAGCCAAAGTCGCAGAGACGGCAGCGATAAAATGGGGGCGACACAGCATTCCCAGATCGGTCTACAGTTGCAGACATGATTCTCCAGCGCAGCAAAGTGTGCTCCAGGGCTTGTGCACACGTCATGAATATGGGCCCACAGACAACGCAGCCGTTGCTTACGCAAGCATCACGTTCTAATATTTGGGCCCCGCGCCCACCGCCCTCCATGTGTACGCAGTGCGAGGTAAGTGCAGCACGCGTGTCGGAGCACGCCGTGCACCTCGCGTCGTCATCGAGCTTCGCCCAACATCTAAACTGCCCACCTCCTCCTCCTTGTACCCGCCGTGATCGATCGCATTCGTTAAGACGTGCCCAATAATGCGACTCGATACCTCGAACGTCGAGCTGAACGAAACCCCCCTTCCCTCCGCAGTCAAAGATAGTGCGCACATCTAAGCCCATTCGGCCAAGTTGTCTAGACTTCCGACGCCCACAGCGGGCGAAGTCGCTGCCGCGCCTCTGAGGGCCACCTGGCCACGGCGAGCAAGAGCGCTTTCGAGCGGGGCGAGGTCGCCCTCCAGCAGCGGGCCGCGCGAGCGCGCAAGACTCTTGATGCCAGACAGGACAGCGCCGCGGACGCATCCTCCAGATCACAGAACGCCATTAAAACGCCACTTGGCTCGCCCAGGAACTCCCCGCCCCCACCCCAGCCTCATTCCCAGACCAACAGAACGGCGCCTCCACCCCCGCTGCAAGACTGGCTGGCATGCGAGCGCTCAGGCACCGAGCAAACGCAAGTGTTCGACCGGGAAGCTGATTGGGTAGAATTAAAATCTGCTCGTTCCGATGGGCCCCTCTGCCACTCGCACTGGGAACGGAATCCTGACCTTCTGGGCGAGCCCGATGGTGCCAAGCGCGTTCGACCCCCCCCCGCCCCCCCCCAAAAAAAATAAATAAAAGAAAAACATAATTAAAATAATAGGGAATAATATTTTTTATGAAAATTAACACCCAAAAAACGGGAACGGCATTGCGGCGGCACAATTATCGGCAGAAAGGCTTGCTCGACTTCGCGCCCGCCGCGCGGGGGCCGGGCAGATATCCAACTTGCCGGCGAAGTTGCATCGACGAGCTCTTGCGAGCGCAGCACATGCGCCATGACAAACGAATGCACCAAGATCGGGCCACTTGGGAGACGCCGCCCCCCCCGCCCCCGGCGCGCACGATGTCGCCCCCCCCCCCCCCCATTCGCAAATGCGAAATAACTATACGCGACGCGGTCCGGCATGAGCGGGGCGCCGTCTGGATGCAAGACTCGCACTGCCGCCGCGCTGAGGCAATCTGACCCCACCGAGTAAAACACATCGGTCGCGCCGTGAAAACGGCGAAGGCGCGAGAGGCATGGCTTCTTCACTCGACGGCTCTGCGCCGCGCCCCCCCCCCCCCCCCCGCCCGCTCGCCCAACGCCCCAAATGCCCGAGCAGGAATGGGATGCTTAGGGGCTCGATTAAGAACTCCAACATAAGATACCTTGCCCAGCTAGCGCACCGCCCTCGCGGCCCGCCCCCCCCCCCCCCCGGCCCCCTGCCAGAATCGAGCTGCAACCGCGCGCAACCAGTCGAGAGGTAGCTCACTGCACATCCCGCCGCCCATCAGGATGCGAAAGAGAGAGAGAGAGAGAGAGAGAACACAAAAAAAGAGAGAGAGAGAGAGAGACTTGTAGAACCCAAAGGAAATGAGATCAACGACTTCCGAGATGCGCCCGACCCCGCGCCCCATTTCCCCCACTCTGGGGTCGGTCCATTCCAGGGGGAAAACTGCTCTGAGAAGCTCCATCGGGCAGCAGCTCCAGGGCAGGGTAGCCTGCCAAAGACGCGCCTGCCAGACAGCCATTTCTAGCCTTTCCAAATCCTCTTCAACGTCTTCGGCCTCGACAGCCAGAGGAACTCCAGGGGCCCCTCGCACCGTTCTGAGATCAGAAAGAGTCGCGACCTGAGCGGAGCATCCGCCATCGGGCCCAAAAAGAGCAATCTTCTCCCCCCACTCGCGCCTCGCCGCCACCACCCCGATATTCCCGCGCACCCTCTTTCCCCCCCCCCTCGCGACCAGCTTGGCCAAGCGATGGATACTGCGCCAGTCGCGTCGCTCAACAGCTTCGTTAAAAGCCTCACACCGATCTTGCCTAATGCGCCCCCAATAGTTCATCTCACGATGTCTTAGCCACCTGCTCACCCTCCACAACTCCAGCGTTAATCTAAACCGCTCCCCCTCCAAATCCTCCGAGTATCCCGTCAGAGAACGTCGCGGCGTCGCTGCAAAAAGTCTGACACTTCACGAGCACGCCTAGAGTGATCCTCTGCGTACAACGGAGAGCGAGAGCATTGCGCATTGCCTCCTTCCCGGAGTGATTGCACGAGAACTTCGCTGGCCTCGTCAGCCACATGGTTGATCGGTAACGAAGCCACACTATCGCACTCGCGGTCGAGCGATCTCCCAAATTGCCGCCGAAACCCTTGCGCCTGTACCCTCGTTGAGCATCGTCGACGCCGACTCGCCCGATAAGGTGGTATCTGGCATGCTTTGGTACGGCTCAACAACGGCATGGAATGGAAGTGCGATCCCGACTGGAACGTGGCCCCATAACTTGCTCTGACTCCGTGCTTGAAGTCGCCAAGCGCTGCGCCGGCGGGCGCGGCGCCAACGTGCTTCGGGCGCCCACTGGTGGGGCACAAAAATGAAGCCAATCGCGTTGAACGTATGCGAATTACCCTAGTATGTATCACCAGCTGGCCACCTAGTCCATGCGTCTTCAGCAGAGCCGCGAGGCCCCGAGAAGTGTAATTCCGAGCTCCACAGCCGTGGGCACCTCAAAACCAGCGATATCGGGGAACTGCCCATTCACATTATTCATGATAACCGGTGCCCATCTCGCAGAGACTGATTCCAGCGCGCGCATCACCCGTCATCATCACCATCACCATCACCATCAGCATCAGCATCACCACCACAACCACCACCACCACCACCACCATCATCATCATCAGCATCAACAGCATCATTATCATACGTACCACCCCCACCACCACCGCCATCATCACCACCACCACCACCGTCATCAATGTCAGCTTCAACATCGACGCACGAACAGCATAATGTGCATCGCCATTGTCACCAGAATCATCACCTTCACCATCATCATCATAATCATCATCATCATCATCATCATCATCATCATCATCATCATCATCATCATCATCATCATCATCATCATCATCATCCTGCATCACAAACATCATCGCCACCATCATCAGCATCAGCATCATCATCCTCATCACCATCCTCATCATCACCACCATCATCATCGTGACTCACCCTGAGAAGCAAACCTAACAGAAACAACTGACATGCGCTGGCTCTCACATGATGACACGCCCTGCCCCCGCAGGCTCCCTCGTATCGCCCTCCGCCTCCGCGGCGACGACGAGTTCCTCCACCAGCTCACGAGCTCGTCCATGCGGAGCTCCTCTGCCGCCTCGCCCAACTCCTCCAGCACCTCCGCGCTCTCCACATTGAGCCGCCCACAGGTCTCCCAAGACGGTGCCATCACCGACGGTCCGTGGCGCCGAGCCTTGTCCTCAACGCCCACGCGCGCTGCTGCGACGCCAGCCAAGGCGTCAGCCCGTGCGTCCGCGCTCGGCATTCGGGCTGCCAACTGCGAGCGGAATATGACATCCAGCCTCCACTGGTGCAGTTCCCCAGGGTACAATCATTGCACTAGCACAAGGAACGCATAATCAGGAACGCAGGTGCTGTTCTGGCCACGGCGGGCCTAGGCCACGAACAGGTTCCACGACACAAATCCAAGGAACGACCCGAAAACCCGAGGCCCTCTTAAGCCCAAAGCTTGGCTACACGCTAGGAATGGCCCTGGACAAGAGTGAGCTTTTGAGCGCGGCTCAAGGGGGACGCGGGGTGGCCAAACTTGGGCGCGCAAGCCGACGCTACCGCTTCGCGTTCGGCGATCGGGAGACCCCATCGGGCCAGCGCCAAAGATCACTCTGGCGGAATGTCACTTTCACGTCTACTCGAAAAGCAGTCCTTATTTCAGCGTCTTGACTGTACGCGGCCACGATGTCCAGGATCGCCTCCTTGCACGTCGGTGCCTGCTACGGCTCCCTGGCCTGCGCCCGCTCTGGCACCTGCCACTGGTACGGCTCTGGCACGAGGCACTCCTCGTCCGCGCCGCAGCCAGCGCGTCGCAAGGCCTTCGGCACCGCCTTGATGATGCACCGGTGTGGCCGCTGCCTGCCGCCCTACTTTGCGCAGTGTAAGGCGTGCTGGAGCCGGGCTCCAATGCGTTTCTCACACGCATCGCCCGTGGTGTTATCGCATCATCGTCATCATCCTCATCATCCTCATCATCCTCATCATCAGCAGCAGCAGCATAGTCAGCATCATTATCATCATCATCATCATCATCATCATCATCATCATCATCATCAGCAGCAGCAGCAGCATATCATGATTACCATCATCATCGTCATGATAAGAATCAGCATCACCATCGTCATCATCATCAGCATCAGCATCGGCATCATCATCACCATCACCAAAATAATAACAATAATAATAATAATGATAATAATCATCATCATCATCACCACCACCACCACCATCATCATCCTCATCATCATCATCATCATCATCATCATCATCATCAACGCCATCATCGCCATCATCCTGGACATCACTTCCATCATCAGCATCATCATCAGCATCGCCATCATCAGCAGCCTCATCATCACCATCACCATTACCATCACCATCACCATCATCATGGTCGTCATCATCATCATCATCATCATCATCATCATCAGCATCATCATCATCATCATCAGCATCATCATCATCATCATCATCATCATCATCATCATCATCATCGCCAGCATCACAATAACCATCCCCACAGCCATCGTCATCATCATAATAATCAGCATCATCACCATCATCACCACCACAACCATCATCATCACCATCGTCATCATCAGCATCATCAGGATCATCATCATCATCATCATCATCATCAGCATCAGCATCGTTAGCATCATCATCATCATCATAATCATTATCAGCATCATGCGCATCACTATCATCATCATGAGCATCAGCATCATCATCAGCATCAGCATCATCATCATCAGCAGCATCACCATCACGATAACCATCACCATCAGCATCGGCAGCATCCTCATCATCATCATAATCAGCATCGTCCTCATCATCATCAGCAGCAGCGGCATCTCCATCATCATCATCATCATCATCATCATCATCAGCAACAGCATCATCATCAGCAACAGCATCATCATCATCATCAGCAGTATCATCATCATCAGCATCATTAGTATCATCATCATCATCAGCATCCTCATCATCATTGTTCTCATCAGCATCATCAGCATCATCGCCATCATCATCATCACCACCGTCATAATCGGCATCAACATCATCATCATCCTCATCATCATCATCCAAATCAGCATCATCATCATCATCATCATCATCATCATCATCATCATCATCATCATCAAAATCGGCATCGTCATCGTCATCATCATCATTATCAGCATCATCATCAGCATCGCCGTCGTCATCATCATAACCACAATCAGCAGCAGCATCAGCATCAGCATCAGCATCAGCAGCAGCAACACCATCAGTATCACCATACGTAATCATCAGCATCATCATCAGCAGCATCATCGTCATCAGCAACACCACCATCATCAGCATCATCATCATCCTCATCAGCGTAATCGGCATCGTCATCATACTCATAATCACCATCTTCATCATCACCATCATCATCCTCGTCGTCATCATCATCACCATCATCATCAGCAGCAGCATCAGCATCAGCAGCAGCATCAGCATCATCAGCATCATCATCAAAAGTAGCATTAGCATCACCATCACCATCACTTGCACCATCACCACCACCATCGTTATCATCATCATGATCATCCTCATCATCACCATCCTGATCATCATCGTCGTTGTCGCCTTCGTCGTCGTCGACGTCATCGTCGTCGTCGTCGTCATCGTTGTCATCGTGGTCACCATCATCCCACATCCTTCTGAATGTGCTCCTCCGCCGCCCCGCCCCACCCCCGCGACGCTCCTGTCGGGAGCGGCCTCTGCGCAGTGCGTCTCATCCTGGCGGCGAGCTCCCCGCCGCGGGGGACGCTGGTCGCGCGCTCGCTTCGCAGCGGGGCAGCCCGAGCGCTGGCGGCGACCAAAACAATGCACATCATGGAATGGAATGGAGCGCGCAGCATTCTAGGAGTGAAAAATCGGAGGGCGGAAGAAAGTGAAATCTGGCACACACGAACATGGATTACGAATCCGCGGATCTGGCAGTATGCGCCATGTCCACGGATCGAGAAAGATAAGCCCTGAAACATAATACCAATGCCGCCAGATTTGACGACGGAGCGCGTCAATTTCGCAGTATGGAAGCGTGACCCATCGCTAACGCACGCGCCTTGATCCCTGTTTGCGTTTAAACCCCCTGATCCTGGCATCCCGGTCCACCTCCCTCAGCTGGTTGAGGGTCTGCGCCGATGCGGACGTGAGGAAAGTGCCTGTCGCGCGGGGTGGGGGAGGGCGCGCGAAGACGAGCCCTGTCCGAGAATCAGCCTGGGCCTCTCTGCTCCTCCTTCTCCTCCTCCTCCTCCACCTCCTCCTCCTCCTCCTCCTCCTCCTCCTCCTCGCCTCCTCCGCCTCCGCCTCCGCCTCCGCCTCCTCCTCCTCCTCCTCCTCCTCCTCCTCCTCCTCCTCCTCCTCCTCCGCTCAGATGGCTGCTGCTTGCAACAATTGCCAATGTGTGTTGGGCTGGACGAGCGGGAGGAGGCAGGGAAGGACAGGGAGAAGGAGCGAGGAAGGGATGGAAAGAGGAGGGGCTGGAGAAGGAGGAGCAGTAGGAGAAGGAGGGGCATGGAGGAGGATGAGGAGGACGAGCGGTGGCGGCGCCGCTCGCTAGCGCCGCCGCCGTCAGCGGGTCCACCGCGCCCGGCACCGCGAGGAGGTAACCAGGCAGAGCCGAAAGCGCTACCCAGACGGTCAGTTTCCTGGGCGCGGCGAGCGGCGAGGGGGAGGGAGACGGGGGAGAGGAGGCAGAGGAGGGAGGGAAGGAAGAGGAGAGGGAGGAAGGGAGGAATAGGAGAGGGAAGGAAGGGAAGGAAGAGGAGAGGAAGGGAAGGAAGAGGAGAGGGAGGATGCAGAGCAGGAAGGGAGGAAGGGGAGAGGAGGCAGAGGAGGATGGGAAGGAGAAGCAGAGGAAGGCAGGGAGAGAGCGAGGAACAGAATAGGAGGGGGAAGGACAGGAAGGAGGATCAGGAGAAGGGAGAAGAGCAGCGGGAGGGAAGGAGAAAGATAGGGAGAGGGCGAGAAAGAGAGAGAGAGAGAGAACAAAAAAAACAAAAACAATAACAAAAAAACGAGAGGGAAGAAACGAGAAGGAGCAGGAGGAGGGGGAAAGGGAGGGGAGGGGGAAGGCAAAAGAGGGGGCGAGAAGAGAGCCCCAAGACTGGCTCTAGAGCATCAAAGGGAACGGAAAGATTATTCCTCCTCCTCCTCTTCCTCCCCCTCCTCCCCCTCCACTTCCACCTCCTCCTCCTCCTCCTCCTCCTCCTCCTCCTCCTCCGCCATTTGTTGTCCTTATAAATAACTCCTCCCTGTCGCGCCTCGAAACGCCCTCACCACGCGTGATCCTTGAACTTCAAAAGTCTGCAACCGTGTCCCGGATGGTGCGCGTGCCGTTTTCAAAAATGTGGCTTTCGCCGCGCACATTCGTCTGACACAATTGCCAGGGGTTCACAGGTGGAGGGCGGCTCCAGCATCGCGCACATTCGTCTGGGCGCAACAGTGGTTCGCGGAATCAACTCTCCGGAACGGCATTCTGGCACGCGACTGGATCGCTTGGACGCAATATTAACGTGGACCCGCGGCGTTGCAGTCCCGGGAATGGGCTTTTGGCATGGTCTGTTGGCGTGGTCCCCGGGTGGAAATTCCGGCGAACCTGCCGGCGTGTGTGAAGGGCTTCTCCGTTCGAGTCGTCGTCTCCGTCATTCGTTTGCCGTCGTCTCTGTGCATCGCTGTTGCACCGGCAACGCTGGACGGGAAGAGGGGGCGCGCGGGCTGTCCCCATCCGATCCTTCGATCCTCGATCCTCGGATCTTCGAAATCATTCGATCCTCGCCCCCTCGATACCTCGACCCCTCGAGCCCTCGAGCCCTCGAGCCCTCGAACCTTCGATCCTCCGAGTCTCCGATCCTGCTCCTTCGAACCTTGGGTCATTCGATTCCTGCAGCCCTCGATTCTCGAACACTCGATCATCGAACCTTCCATCCCCCGACCCTCGAACCCTTGAACCCTCGATCCTCGCACCTTCGATCCTTCGATCATCCGAACCTTTGGCGACGAGGGCCTCCGCGGAGGCCCAAAAAGGCGAGACGGGGGCAAGGGTAACGGTGTCGGTACCTCCTCCTCCCCCGATCTTCCCTCCCCCTCTTCCCCTGATACCTCTCTCCCCTGATCTGCCCTCCCCCTGGTACCTCCTCCTCCCCTGGATCTCCCCTCCCCCTCTTCCCCCGCGGCCAGCCTCTCGTGATGCGCCGTGTCTGACGGTCCCCGGGCCCTGCGAGGGCCCCCAGGTGCCGAGGATGGCCAAGAACCTCCCGTCTTCGTCATTCCACAAGTCGACGGGGGACCTGGGATCGGCGCCGCATCCCCGACGCCAAGTCGATGCATCGCCGATGCCAAGTCGACGTGTCCACCCAGGAGCCGATCCCGCCCTGGCGTTGCCCCTCAGCCGTCGCCCCCCCCCCTTCGATCGGGCCCTCGATGCCTCGGTCACTGAGTCTTGTCTCGATCGATCCCTCGATTCTTCGACAAAAAAGTTCTATTCTGATCGAGCCTTCGACCCTCGAGCCTCGCAGGGGCGTCAAGGAGGGGGGCGTCCGGGGGGGGGTCGCAAATCTTGGCCCGAGGCACGTGCGCGGACCAGGGGACGGGGGGGGGCGGCCGGGGAACGCCTTGAAGTAAGAGGAGAAACCAAGAAATATGAAGGGATACTATGGCCATGGCAATGGCCAGGATACCCCCAACCCAGCATGAAATGTGTGTGTGTTGGGAGTGTCCGACGCGAGAACTCTAGCCGCGTGGCAACTCCGAAAAAACGTGGCATGCATGGACCCTGCGTCCAGAAGCCCTGTGGTCTTTGTTAGGACAGCCCCCCAGAAAACAAACAAAAAATCTTGCTGCGCCCGGCCGCATGGGCGTGGAAATTCAATGCTGGAATAGGAAAGCGGCTGTAGTCATCATCCCCTCTTTCGGGGGCGTCCAAGAAGGGGGCGTCCAAGAGGGGGGCTCGCAAATCATGACCCGAGGCAGCGGCCCAGGGGGTGAAGGGGAGGTATTGAATTACGTAAGAAGAGGCGCCCCTTGAAATCTGGGGAGATATCTTGGCCCCAGTCTGGATATCCACCCCAATCTTGGCCGCCCCGTACTCTTGGCCGCCCCCGACTCTTGGCCGTCCCCGATCCCCCCACACACACACACACACACACACACACACACACACACACACACACACACACACACACACACACACACCGAGCGAAGCGGCGCGCGACCGCGGCCGGGCGGCGGGCTGTCCCCTTCGACAGCTTCCAGCAGATGGGCGCAAGGTGCCGCAGCCCGCTTCGAGCGCCTGACCCCCCCCGCGCGAGGAGGAGGAGGAGGAGGAGGAGGAGGAGCGCGAGGAGGAGGAGGAGGAGGAGGAGGAGGAGCAGGATGAGGATGAGGGGGCGGAGGAGGAGGAGGAGGAGGCGGAGGAGGCGGAGGAGAAGGAGGGGAAGGAGGGGGAGGAAGGGGAGAGAGGGAGAGAGGGGAGGAGAGGGAGAGGGGGGAAGAGAGAGAGGGAGGAGGGGGAGGGGAGGAGGCGGAGGAGAGAGGGGGGGGTGAGAGCGAGGAGGAGGAGGAGGAGGAGGGAGGAGGAGGAAGGAGGGGGTGGAAAAGAGCAGAAGGAGGAGGAAGAGGAGGAGGAAGAGGAGGAGGAGGAGGAGGGGAGGGAGGAGGCGGAAGCGGCTTCGGCGCGCCCTTTCATCGGGTGGCGTCCAAGAGGGGGACGTACAAAAAGGGAATTCGCAAACCATGGCCCAGGGCACGTGCGCGGCCCCAGGGACCAGGGGGCGCACTCCAAGAGGAAGCGGGGCCCATGAGATCCAGGGAGACATCATGGCCCCAGCCATGATATGCACACGGGCTCAGCGCAAATCCAGCTCAGCCAAAGTCCAGCTCTGCAGGATCCTGCAGGATCTGTCATTCGCGCTGAGCCCCGCTAGCTCTGAGCCCTTGTCAATGCGCCCCGGATCGGAAGAGAACTCATAACCACAGCCATGATATCATGGCCCCAACGAGCATGTTCGTCGTCCACCTCCTCCTCCTCCTCCTCCTCCTCCTCCTC